CTCACATCAGTGCGTTTTATTCACGAATCGCACCATTTTTTCGCTTAGTCGCATCTTTTTTCCAGCCAATGAGAAAGCTTTATTAAAACAAAACAACCAATCAGATTTTAAGGCTTGTTTAAAGTAACCAATCAAATTGTAAGAAGAATGAAAGACAACTTTGGCACGTACTGGATCAATAAAATGTTTGCATTTGAGTGATTGAATTTTACAATTCCAAAGTAGGTGCAATAAAGTGGTGATTGAACTTCGTGTCGTACAATTTTAATGTCAAATGAGACTTGTGATTTCAAATCAAACTCGCGCTGTGCGCTAATGTAAAGGTAACAGGACCGAGCGGAGTCCAATTCGGTCTGTAATCGTACGAGTGATTAACAAAATCGGACGAGCGCGAGGCGAGAATCCGATTTGTTAATCACGAGTATGATTGCAGACAGAATTGGACGACACGAAGTCCTGCCACCAATTAATCAGAACTATGACAAAATTTGAGAAAGAAACTAGATATCAGTTATGGTGTCAACTGTCTCTTTAACTGTCCTATTACACTGTCCAATTACATGCATGACGCGTTCACTATCCTATTAGTGCTCAAATCGGGCTGGTGACAACCAATCACGTTCAAGAATTTTTGTTATAGTTTTGATTAGATTTTGAATTACGCGTATGATTTCAGACCAAATTGCGCTCGAAATTTCCCTTAATAGTGTGGCATGATGATAAGTTATGATTTTCTGACTCCTGTCCAACTTACTTTCCCTCTCATTCAGAGATGAATATTGTAAGTTCCCAACACTGGTTTCCGTCCGCTACACAGCTTAAATCACATGCAAGAAACATTATTCTTATATTTCTGGAAGGGAACCGAAAGTCTGGTTCTGTTTAGTTCTATTCCCAGGCTCTTTTTTGTTTCTTTACTTTAATTTGTTTTGTTCCCTTAATTTTTACACTCATTTTAACCTATACTTCGAATTTCAAATCAAAACAACTCGCACAATGAAGACATCTTTGGATAAAATTGAATTCCACTGGAAAAAATTTAACAAAAAATATTTAGACTTGTCAAAACGCGGTAACCTCTACCTCAGTTTCACCCTCTTCTTTTTCTCGTTTCCTCATCTCGGTTGGTTGACAGTGTCCTGATAGAAAACTCAATTTTTTAAAAACATTGTTCCAATCAAGCGAGGGTATTACTGCGTAAGCAGAGAAAGTATAGGGTTTTCTTACTTAACGAGCTTTTTTCTCCTTTCTCACCACCCATCTTCCACTCAAATTCGAGCAGCTATGGGGCAATTGATACACAACTTTGTAAATGTTCTATCGCCTTATCGGGTCATTAGCCCGAAAACCGATGGCAGGTGTGGTCAGATGCTTTTATAAAATGACTATGGGTTGTGAATGATAGATTGTTGATCAATCAAAGCGTGCGTAGGATCTCAGCTAGTCATTGACTCCTTAGCCTTGGTCGACGAGATTTAAGACTGATTTCATTCAGTGTACGAAATTTGGAAATTATGATAGCACCATAGCTTGAAAAGCATCCTTATACTGATAGGTGCATTTCGATAATAACTATGCAGTCATGTGCACGGTTCATCTAAACCGAGCCGACTAACATCTGCAAATAGCTTGTATAAACTAAGTATTATGGAACGTTTTATATAATGAAAAAGACAGCATCCCTATGAAATATATCTAATTAATATTAATGTCCTAATTAGATTTTAAATCGTTGTATCATTTACAATTCTGCTACAGGATATTTATACTAGTTAATAGTTGACCACTGCGCTATCATAGCTACACAGTTGCATTAAATTAAAATAAGTTTATTGAAACTTCCTTAACGATATGGCTAAATGCTTTATAATTTCTGACAACCCTTTCATGTCCAGTTTGACATATTTTCCATCTCTTTAAAGAAAATGCTGTAAGTTTACTGCAGTGGTTTCCGTTCGCTACACAACTTCAATCGTGTATAGTATATATATATGTTATTTGCCAGCTGGGAGGTCTGTATGGGGAAAAACTGTGACCGAGGTCTTGAAAATACTGCCCGAGGCCGTAGGCCGAGGGCAGCATTTTCAAGACCGAGGTCACAGTTTTTCACCATACGGACCGACCCTTAGCCGGTAAATAACATATTTATTGTTTTTAAACTTGACGAAATTCTTTCCGAGAGAACCCGAATGACTTATGGCCGTAAATACGGCAAGATCTTCCATAAACTGAACAATTTTTGAGTGAGTAAATGGTAGTTCAAATAGAGGTGATGCAAATTTAAGAGAGATACCTCAGCGAAACATTTTCATTTCCGTAACGATAAAGGTGATTTAAAAGGCTTCCAAACAAACTTTGAAACATTATTTTTACAAGTATCTGTCACAATCTGACACCTGTCAATTAGAGAGCGCGCAAGAAAAAAAAATCGTAGGAACATTTGAAAACCAACAGAACTAGTTTGGCAAGGACTGTCACGACAATGTTTTCTTAAAAATCAGTTAATGATCTAACGGAAAGTATTATTTACTTTCATCGACCATTCATTCATGTACGAAGATTTACCTCTGTTCATTAAGTAAACGGCGAGGAAGGTAATTGTGAGTAAATTCAATTTTTTATTTTGAAGTTGTGAGAGTTTGCTCGTTTGTTTGCTGTAATGGCGTGTTTAACTCTGATCTTTCCTTCACAAAAACTAAATTCGAACGGCACACTCCAACGAGACACAAGGGAATTTAATGCAGCCTTTTCTCAATTCCTTCAATTTCTGTTATGTGCAATTTAAAATTTATAAATGTCCAAATTGAACGGAATTGGAAAGACTCACCAGGAGCGTATATTTGTTGTAGAACTTAAATTAAAACTTCGCTCGCTCTTTCACTATGAACAAATTGCTCGAGAAAATTCAGATATTAAATGAATGAAAGTTCCATCGCCCATTTATAATATGAAGGTTTGGAAGTTTATATATACCTCGCTTGAACCTCGTTTCTCCTTACGGTAAAATACAGTCTTCGCCCGGGCTTTGGTGCGCCAAACGCACGCGCATTGTATGGTCACAAATATTTTTGGAGCCACAGTTCTGTTGCTCAGCGCCATCTTCTGATGCACACTCTTACTTCCTGTTTTTCTGCTCCTATTCAGTTTTAATTGAACAAATAGCGAGTAAGTTTATTTACCTGCTGCAGTATGGCGAGTTCTTGGATGAAATATGTTTTTGAACGTTTCTCTTACACTGCAAAAAAAGTGATGTTCACCCGTTCGGAAAACAAGTTGTGAATATTTGAAAACGCAGCATTATTCACGCATTTTCTGACATTTTCCGAAAAGAAAATCCAACGTTCTCCCGTTGTTTTCGAGTCGGCAAATTGGAGTATTCATTCCATTATCCAGCAGTTTTCCTCCACAGTGAACTCTATGAAAACGATTGTTTTCTTAGTGTTAAGAGTACGGTTAACAGACGGGAAAACAGTTTGTATTCCGTTGTTTACTGGTGTTTTCCCAGTAACAAAACATTGTTTTCACAGACGTTTTCCGTTGAAGACAATGCGTTTTCTTCCATTTTCTAGGACAGTAAATGCGTAGATAACGCTTGAAAACCAAGTGTCGTCTAACGTTCACGGGTTGGTTAACAAATTGAAATACAATGTTTACTAGCGTTTGCAGCTGTTTGCGTTGAGAAAACGCGTTGTTAGCGGCGGTTGATCACCCGAATGCGGTTATTCCCACGCATTTTCCTGTATTTTCCGTTCGATTATCGTGCGGAAAATGGCATGTATTCCTATATTCATCGGTGTTTTACACTGTCAACCATTTGGAAATTTATATTTATATTTACTTCTCTCGCTCAAAACACTCAGTTAAATTCCTCTTTTAATTTCTTTAGCTCCAGGCTTCCTTGCTCTAGAACGATTTTGAAGAAGTTCTACCAGTCGCTGAATCCACTTCGCAAATCAAATGATCAATTGAACTACTTGGAATCATTCCCTCCCGTAGTGACGCAAGTAATAAGAGCCTTAACATAAATTTTTTTGAAGCCTTTTTATTACCAATTAACCAAAGTAGTATTCGCCTAGTTACATCAGTTCTTAATCATACAATTTTTACAAATATTCACAACACAGAAAACCTTGAAATCTAACATTTTAAAAAAATTTTAAAAGTATCAGCGAAAAAAAATTCACTCTTACTACAATATTAACAAAATAGTATGTCTCACCCTTGGTAAACAAATACAATCTGCTTCATTTTGGTCAATAAAATGAGACTTCTAAATGACACAAACAAACCTTGCACAAAAATGAGTGAAACCTAAAATCTGTTCACCACCTGAGGTGGATCATATGTAAAATTGGGAAAATGTTGAAATGCATATATGTGAAATTTGGATGATTATATTGGGACTCATACAGGCAGTTGTAAAAGAAGCTTTTACATGTATCATCCAGTTCAACATTTCGAGCTGTTTCCTTAATTTTGATAAACATCACAAAAATACTCAAAAATTTTCTAGACTCAAACATTAGAGTTTGAAAAATCCAACTCAACACCATCCTCGAGTGTAAAAGAACTTTTGCAGTTGAACTTAAGGAACATAGCAGGGCTTCTAGAAGTAAATATCCCATATTTAATCTAAATCAAGAACATCCATTAATTACTGCCTTACTCTAAAGGATCCACTGTAACCAAAATTGCCTAGTAAACAATAACAGCATTCATGGAAAAGAAATAGAAAATAATTACAATTTAATGGCCCAGAGCAATTTCTCTGGCACTTCATTGTGGCTTCTGGTACTTGGACAGCCAACCTGCCTGTTTACAGACTGCCTCCTTTGTTGGGTGGACATATTTGCCCTATGCTGTGAGTCCAGTTCTTTGAAGAAAGAAGAAACCTCCTCTGTCCTCCAGACAAGAAGCTTTGTGGACAGGGTGTCATCCTCGCCATCAGATTCATCTGAGGATATCATTGACAAATGCAATGCCTCGAACAATTCTGACTTCTTTTCTTCCTCAGTAACCACTCTCAGTCTCTTCTCCAGTTTCTAGGGTAAAACATGAAAAGTTTTAGACTCAGCAGACTTTCATTAAATAAACAATAGTTGTGGTTAGGAGAGATAACATCATTTGAAATAGATGTTTCTCTCTAACTCATAATACTTAAAGACATTTCCAAAACTGCTTGGCTCATTGCACAACTAACATGACATTCAATTTTCAATATTAAACTAAGCTCAAGCAGAAAAACATCAATACTGGCAATCTCCACAATCACATAGGGTAGAGAAATAAAGGAAAAGAAAGAGTTTAAGAGGTGAATGAAATGGTCGACAGTTAACTTTTTGTGTAGAAACATCATTGAAGCAAGCTACCTCTTACTCTTTTAATTCTTTGCCTCCTCTTCTGTTCCCTTTGGTACTGCTCATATGTACCATTTTCCATCTGCCTCCTCTTTCTTTTGTTGGAGGCAAAGTTTGGAGAGACAGCATCTGAAAAATTAAATATTTCTGAGGTGAGGCCAGGAAACCAAGGTTTAATACTGAAGCTGTACCTGAGAAATTATTTGACTAGCTTTATACAGTTAATGTACCAGAGCTAAAATCATTTACTCTGTTTGAAAAAGACAACATGTAGGCATTGTGAGCCAACTTAGGTGATGTAAACAGAGCAGGTTTCTTGCGGTTTAACTTTAAAAGAAATCAATCCCAATGAAGCAAAAGTTGAGTGAGATATCCATTTCTTGGAGTGGATAAGTGATAAATAGTTGACTTAAAGGTCCTAACCAATTAAAACAATCAATACCAAAGGGAAACATACCAAATATCCGCCTCTCTGTGCAGAGAGAGTCATTCTTTACATGCTCAACTTCTTGAACTTCTTTAAGAAGTCTTCTGGCAACTTCTTGGTTTGGTGGCTCATTCTCCCTGTTGGAATATAATGTGTAGATAAAAGTAAATTGCAAAACCTCAAAGTCATTTCCAGCATAGGTTCCCCCTCTTTGGTGCCCCCAAATAGAAACTGTAACTCATTATTCAAATGGTTAGGTTTATGAGAAACCTCTTTTTTGGTGTAAGTGGAACAAATAGCCCAAATGGAGCCATGACACAGCATTCCTCAGTATGGTATTCTTACAGTGAACTTCCATGGACTAACATGAGTGATCAAGAAAACGTGGGACTAAAACGATGATTTTTACTTCTGCTCTCACCACTTTGATTCTACTTTTTTCCTTTGTGGTTGAAATTTTATTAATGCGTAGCTCTTCAAACCACTTGCACCTCCCACTTTCTTACCACATGGACTTCCGTTGTAAACTATTCAATCACAAACTATGTTACAAGTATCTTTACTCCCCTTTGGCTATGAACTTACTTCCTTTCCGTGTTCCACGACAGTCCTAACTGTTCCATCTTGGAGCGGACGTAATGCTGTGAATGATCATCAATAAATGCAAGAGGAATTTAACTGAGTGTTTTAAACATCAGATAATTTAAGTTTGTCATTCCCTCTCTCTTTCTAAGAGAGTGCAAACAAATCAATCGCTCACATGCATAAACGCAACTTTGAACTAAGGGGACGTTGGCGTCACCGAAAGAGGACGGATGATAAAAGAAATTCGCAATCGACAGCAAGTCAAAAATGGCGGGGATCGGCTCTGATCAATCAAAAGGTGTGATATATATCACAAAATGCGCACGAAATTTGAAAACGGCTTTTGACTTCACTTTCCATGTTCTTACCGGGTAATCCTTTGATATATCTTATAAATTTTTATGGTTAACATTCTCAACGCAAAGAAATAGCAAAGAGGAAAATATTGACGTATCTTACCGAAAGATCAGGGTGCCGTGCGATTTTTCTTTTTCTTGAAGAATTCGGCGGCGTCACTGCATCATAGCTTCCAGTCTCATGGCTGGTTAGTTTGGCTTCTAGCGTGGATATCCTGTCTTCCACAGTTTTAAAGCCATTTACCATCGTAGAATGGATCCTCTCCAAAGTTTGCAGGACTGTATCGGAGAAGTCGGTCTGGTTACCTTCGATAATGCTTAAGGAGTCATTTATGTCCGACAATTTAGCTGCAAGACTAGATTGATCGGACCTTTCCAGCTTCTCATGTAAATCTTTGAGTCTGCTCAAGACTTAGCGAAATTCGGATACATTTGAGGCTCTGCTAGATGCCATTTCGCGATAAAGAGTTAGGTAAATAGACAGCTTTCACTCGACTTGCAAGTCGTACGTGGAATGATTGTTGTGAGTTTTCCCTTCACGAACAAACTAAAACAAGGAATGTGATTGGTCCAATGAAGTATGCAGTCATAACAATCGATATGATTGGTCAAAAATTTCGTGCATGATGGTCAGCGGTCTTATGTATGGCGCCAAGAGGGACGCAAAAAATTAAAATCCTTCATCAAAGGATTGTTCTTAGTGGTGATTTTAAACAATTAACAAGATTTATTAAGTATTTGACAAGATTTCATCCTGTATTTTAGGATCGAAGATCCTTTTTGGTTATTTTGCCGATTGGAGCACCTTACAATGCCAAAAAGAAGCTTTCCTCGCGAACTGAATCTATTGTTCTAGATGTGGAAATAATGAATATTCACCCTCAATCTCCGACAGATGCGGTATTCTTGTATTTTGGTTGTTATTGTTTCTAGTATCCTGGCAGTCAGCTTTTTGTGTTACAGATTCAGCTGGTGAAATGCTACTCAAATTTCTTAGTCGTTTCTTGGGGCTTCTGATGAGAATGGTATAATTTCTAGACTTTCAAAACGTTTGCCAAGTACGCGTTACATGTTAAGGAAGAACCTTGGGCTACTAGGAAATGATGAATGTATTAAATATGTTGTGTGCCCAAAGTGCAAAAACCTGTATGATTACAAAGACTGCATCCAGAACCGTTGTGGAAGGCAAGTTTCAGCTCGATATAAGTTTGTACCATGGTCAAGACACCCACACAGGAATCGCAGAGGTAAGAAACTACTTAGCAGTCAGTTCATTTTATGTGCATGTGATGTATTCCTCCTCAAACTCATTAATTATTCTGAGGTTATTGGCCAATGAGTGGAAAGTATTTTGTCACATTCATAAATCTAGATACTTGATAAATATGTATATCTGTATTTCGTCACATGCATGAATCCAGATATCCAATAAAAACACATCCAGATCATCAGTGATCTGGATATACGTTTCTACTGAATATCTAGATTTATGTGTAGCATGAAATGCAAATAAGAAAATTACACTTCATTTGGGAACACTTTCCTTTAGCAGTTTACCTTGCTCTTCACCCCTTTTTGGGATGCGAAAACGGTTAACTGCATTACTTTCTGCCATAATTAAGCTCCAACTAACCATAGAGCTATAAACTAAATGAGCAAAACTACCATAAATTTAGCACACACTTTGAATCCCTTAAAGAAACCCCATAGAGACAACAGATGGATAGTTGCTGATAAAATGTCCAAAATTATATAACCAACGAAAAGAGCATAACAATAATGTGACAATTTAGGTGATGATTGAAATAGGCAGTTTGAGAAGCAAGCTAAAAGGCTCTTGCTTCAGGTTTGGTTGTGGCATCCAAACATCTCAAAACAAATTAAACCAGCAGCCTTGTGCTTTCATTTCATGTTTCTCAACATTTGGATGCCACAATCAAACCCTTGCACTTGTTTTTTATATACTACATCAAAGATATTGGGGGAGCAAAACTGGTGAGTAGCTGCATACTTAAAATGAAGATTATTTTGCTTATTAGAAAAACTGTGGACTTATTGCCATTAAGGGCAAAATGACTCGTCAATGCCATGAAGTTCCAGTCAAGGCTCGAATGATTTATCTCAAAGTCTTACGCGATAAATTTCGTGGACAGACCGTTGGCGAGGTAAAATGGAATATGAACGACGTGGTTTGCACGTATGTCAGTTTTGAGTACAACTACCCTCGAGTGTTCTCTGGTTCATCAAGAGTACGTTTTTCAATTTACAACTCGGAAAATTCGACCAAAGTTCGCTTCGCAGATGGACGCGAAACATAATGATGTTCCAAGATATCTCAATGACGCAATTGCAAACGCATTTAGGTCAGAGACTTCTAAAGTTCGCTTCTTTGTTTCATTGGATCTGCTGCCACATATTGCTTTTATTCACCAAAAGTATACCTTCTTAGGTGACTAAGACAACTTTGCCTTCATTGCAATTTCCCGCATAGGTTTTGAGAACGATTACACCGGCTAATGGGCATATTTCCGCTCTGCACGCGGTATCTGCTTACTTGAGCCACTGAGAATGTTAATCGTTGAAAAGCCACTAAATATTCATAATTGGCCTTATTAACTCACACCAGTTACTTGAAGAGGCCTTTGCTTGATGCTACAGATGTACATAAACTTTGTGATACAAGAAAACGAAGGAATATTCACTTCCGGGTACTGTTCGTGGCTTAGAATGGCAACGGTCTGCTCTGGCTGAGACCCCATATTTCTTACACACAGTAGGAAGTTATCGATTATAAACTGTGCTTACTGAGCTGAGAGCTCATTTTAAACTGAGAGATTATGCTTAAATGTCGTAGTTCGACGTATTCGTCAGTTACGAATGCTGTCTTCGAGTTACATGGCGTAGTAATTTCTCTCCTTTTCTAAGTTATCAACATATGATTAAAGGCAAGTTCCTTTGAGTAATTGCCATTCAACTATTTCTACCGTTGTATGTTTTAAGAGTCGGATGAATATCGGTGGATAAATAAATAAATATCGATCGTTCGTCACTTTAATCTGTTTACCTCTTTTATCAAATACTCAACACAATATACAATGAAGTACGGAATAATCACTAATGCACCCGCTGACCGCTCCTACAGGCTACGGAGGCTTTGTAACCTGATTGTGAGGCCTTTTCCCGCCTTTTTGATAAGAAGAAAAGAAGATGCGAAATTTTAAGCTGCTTTACTTGAATCAAGCCTGTAGTATTTTGAAAGCTCCACGTTTGTTCTGTCTGTCACAGTATTATGGTAACTGGTTGAGTGATCAAAATAACTTCCATCTCGTCATTAACTTTCTTATAAACCCGAGAGGAATTAGTTTGTGGAATAATCTGGAAATTTCAAGTTTGTCGCAAGACTGAAATATTGGCGAGTTTCGTTCTTAAAGAGGAACAAAATGAGTTTACCTCGAGATCTTGGGAAGAAAACCCCTGTTTTTGTGGCACAATAAACCCGCGAAAGTAGTTTATTTTTGTCTTCAGCGACAAAATAAGTCATGTTTTTACTTATACTAAGTGAAGTGCAATTTGATCGATGGCGGAGTAAGATTTCAGACCAAAATTGTCAAAATTTTCACTCAGTTGAAAACTTGTTTAATCCGTATACATCAAAAGAAAAAAGAGGCGGAATTTTAAAGTGCTCTAAGTTAATCAAGTCTGCAGTATTGTCGGGAAAGAAATAGGTGATGCTTAACTTGATTATTTTGTGACTAAATATTAATTGGAAATTGACCGCATGTGTAACGCAAATAAGTTGGATTTCGTGACATTTGATCTCACAATAATGTGGACAAAGTCCAAGTACATTTACGATATAAAATGATGTAACTACTTGCATTTTCTTAGGCTAAATAAGGTGAAAGAACGTGCGATTTTGTAATAGTCACTTAATTTAGCTACACTACAATGGGAACTTTTACTGTACATGTGATTAGTATAAAAATACTGCCTAACGCAAGGATAGTAGAAAAAACCTCTGTATGTGTTAGTAGATCGTTGGTCGTTGATCGTTGCGTTACGACCGTTGAATATGTGAGAATTGTATATCGCAATAGATTGTTGGTTTGGATTAAATTGTGTTGTTACGTCGAAAGATACATTCCTCTTAATTTGTTCGAACCAGCGAGTGGGGTTATAGGAATTCCGCAACAAGTCTTTCGTAAACTCCACGCTTGTTTTATTTGTCACGGTTTTTTTTGGTAAGCGGTTGAGTATTCTGTAATCGCATGGAAAACGATAAGGTTCTTGAGTGATCAAAACAACTTCCCCCTCCTCGTTGATTTCCTCCCCCGTAGTCATTAAGTCTTTAAGCAGAGACTGCCACTGCATCCCTTATAATCTTAGAACAACACCTATGACAAATAACTAGTACTGGAGTGATTATGGTTATGGTTCGGAAAAATCAGCGGAGAGGTCGTACTTCTAACCCCTCAATTAAAAAAATTTAGAAGGCAAAAGGTAGGCATGGATATGGATATATTTCCCATTTCCCATTTGCCAATCTTCATTTATGTTCTTAACTTCCTTTCTTTATCACAGACTTGGGTATGCCGTTATTATTTGATTATTGATGTTCAGTAATATCACAACTATTGTATAACATGGTCTTCCAGTGGATCCGTGTATCCATATTTGCTCGGGTATCTTTTCAGGAGGACACTTTTCCCCCTATGTTTTTGATGACGTCGTCTTTGGTCAGGATTTGCAACATTATGTTCTTGAGATATTTAATATCGCGAGAAATATTATAACTTTTACCATTTTCCACTGGTAAAGTATGCTTCTTAATAATATCCTCCACAGACATGCCCAACTAATTAGAGGCATTTCAGGGTTTTTATATGCCACAACTTAATATCGCTTTTCACAGTGGTACGTTTACGTGGAGTTTTTTTAAACCTCCACTGCACTAAACGCATGCGCCTTAGCATGATAAGGAGGTTCTCAAAGCCATGAATTCCTTTGGTCGCGGGCGCCTTTCTCTCTGGCGGTATCTCAAGCTGCATGCTTGAGTGTTTATTCGTCTGCTGCCAGTTCGATTTATCAGTTTAAATGTGTTTTTGAACAAGTGATATATCTTGGGAGGCTAAACAGATATGTCATCCACACGAGGAGACCTAAGATGGAAACTAAACTTCTTATTTGTTCATTTTCCGGAATTTTCGAATTTAAAATATAGATTTTTCAATTCGAACTTTAAAGAATGTTATTAAACGTCGTTCTGTCAATCGGAGGCAACGAAACCAACGGTCCGAGAATTCCCAGTAATGCAAGAGCACGTCCATTCATGATCAGAATATCAACTATATCAATCAGTGCCACAGTGATTGGTTTCGTCACAAAACGCCCTCTATTCCCCGTTGGAGAGAGAGTCGTTGCGTGACGAGACCAAAGGTTGCGAAAG